TCCTGCGCGAGCATGAAGGCCCGCCGCCCTCTTCGCCTTGTGGGAAGCACCCATCTCATGATCCATGAGGCCTAAACCCGGATGCACCGCGAAAGTCTTTGGGCTTGGCACTCTCTTCGGGCTTCTGTGGAGCCTCTAAGTAGAGAGGGAAGTGGGTAGCCTGAGAAGAAGACTGCGGAGAAGGGTTCTTGATCCGACACCACTTGACCCTTCGGCATTCAAAGAGGGCGTTTGTTGGTTCGGTGTTGATGTCTGGACTCATTAATACTAACGAGAGGACTCTAGTATTGTAGGAACCGCCGTGGCCCGTGAACGCCGAATAGGAGTTTGGCATGAAGCACCTGCATCTTCCGACGCCGGAGACTTGCAAGCATTTTCAGGTACTGTGTCTGGTACCTAGCCCAGGGGTCCATTAAAGATTGGAAACACGTGGCAACTGTGGCAATCATACCTACAACCTAGGAGAAAGATGCATTACAAGGGTCCAAAGAATCTGTCAGGAACTGCCAAAGCGGTGCCAAGCGGATAGATTGCTATGCATTCTGGAATGGCGCATGAATGCTTGCCAGGTCTTGATTGGTGCTTGAGAATCATTTCACAGCCGCCAGTCGATGTCTGAGTCAGCTCTGGCAAACAAACAACTGACAATCGTGATCGTCGTTTTGACAGCAGTTGAAAGTATGGAGGAGCTCATAGCACAACAAGAACATGATATCTTCAGTTAGGAAGTTGCTGCTGCGATGTTTCGTGGTTGCGGTTCCCATTCTGCTGCTTGCTATCGTTCCTAATTGATTCTACTGCCGCTGGTGGTGTTGCTGCCGCTGATGTTTTTCATTCTTGCATGCATGCAGTACCGATGCTGTGTATAGCGTTCCTTAACATTTTTGCTGCTACTTGCTACCATCCACACCATCGCATCAGAGTCTTACTTTTCAGAGAACTCTAGATCCGTACATATGCTGCTGCTAGTTCATGTGCTACCCTCGTGTTGTCATCATTGTTGCGGTGATTCAGCCAAAGCCATAAGTTCATAAATCCCCAAATATGAAAACCCCAAGCTGGAAAGGCCTGAAGCCCCAAGCCCCAAAGCCAACTTTGTAAGCCGTGATTACCTCCATGGCCTGGATCCTGAGGACTTCTTTGCTCCGTGCCTGGATGACATTTCCAAGGCCGGCAAAGGGCTCGTAAGTGCTGTACATCTTTTTATTACTATTACTATTACTATTAACATCATACAGGTTCTGCGTACGAAGGACGTCGCAAAGACGATCTGGTGTGGCACCATGCTGGCGTGGAGCTGCGGGGGTCAACAATGAAGCAAGAAATCGAGACAACATGATGTTGGTGAAAGCACAGTCTCGCCAGCCTGTGCCTGTCGCAGGTTCGTTTTCACACAGATCGTTACCCTTGCTCTTGCCTTGCCTTGCCCTGCCCCACTATAGTCGCTTGTCAAGAAGGGCGAAGGACGAAGATCTTCAAGCCCATAGGGTATGTGTTCCGTGGCTACTGCGAAGCCGTGAGTACTCTGCTCCACGCTTGGCGTCGCCTTTGAATGGTCTTGCAAAGGTCTGTGCTAGCCGATCCCCACTGACCCTAGACTGTAGACGCTGCAGGCTGTCGACTTCATCACAGACTGCCGGAAGCAGAGCATCGGCGTGTATGTCCCTCGGATGCAGCACTTGGTTTATGGGGTCTCGGCCTGGGCTGTGTTTCCTGAGCCAGGAATCTTGTCTCTGGTTGTCAAGACCTCGTAAAACAACGCAGAGTATCAGACGACGGCCTGGATACTGCTTCCCAAAATCTCCATTGCAACACACCCACGGAAAGCTTCCTGTGCTGCGTGACGTGGTGTCAAGCTTCCAGAGTATTCTTCGTACCATCGTTGCAAACATCCGGGATTCTGGATGGCTTTGTGCCTATTGCTCTTGGGAAATCGCAGTTGATGGAACTTGGCAAGGTCCACTGCAATGGAGGCAGGCCCGAGCCTGACGCCCATGGGATGCTACTAGTACAGGGGACTACTGCGGACTGGTCCAGGGGAAAAAAGCTGGGCTTGTGGAAGTCTCAAAGGTGCACGAACTTGAAAGCTGCTCCGTGAGATTGACAGCAGACGTTAGCTTGTCAGGCAGGGGCCGGAGCGCTGTGTGCGTTCTTTGCTACCTGATCAAGAGACTCGCCGGCAATCAGAAGGTACTCCTGTCAATAGCAGCATCCACAGTGCAGCTACTGCTGGTAAACATTGCAACCACAACAGAAACGGGCACCGTATGAGAGAACGGCCGAGCACAGGATTGAACTCTTAAGGGCCTTTGACCACACGTCTTCTCATAGCACTGGGTAGTGTTAAAATAGCGGCCTTTTTAACCATTTACAAATACTGTTTGGGGGTGTTCTTTATTATAACCATAGTATAATGGCCCCAAAACGTATTCTAATTATTCAGGCGCCTACATTGCCAACGGGAGGGACGTTGTATAGTCCGCGCCCAGGGCAGCTAAAAGGCGCCTACATTGAAAACGTTATCATGACTGCTGAGGACTGGCTGGCCCGCAATGAAGGAGGGAGCGGACACTCTAGTTACCATCTCTCCGGTGATCGGCTGAAAAACCCAACCCAAGTCAGAAGTCACTCTCCTGTTTTGCCGCGTGAAACGTACCGAAATGCTATCATGCCAGCCATGCAGGCCTTCCAGCACGTCAAGTCCAAGCGCAATATTGCAACTTGACGTTCATGTGATATCCGTGATTGTATGCCAGGTTGCTTGCGACACTTTCCGGCCAGGTTGCTTCTGATATTTTGCGGAGCTGCCTTCTGTTTCGGATCGACCCGTTCATAGTTCGTCCTTTGCTAGTAGAAGCCTGGCTGCTCTCGAGATCCAGTTTGGATGCAGGGCGCTGAAAATTCCCAAAGCTGCAGCCCCGGAGCACTAAATGCCGAGGCAAACATGCTTTTTCTGGGTGGCCGATTCCACAAACAGTGGCGAGCCGTCGGGAGCTTAGCACCAGTCTGCACAGGGTCTCGATCAACAATTCTGCGTTGTCGAATGTCCACAGACTGCTGTCCTTGATGCTTCAGTACAGCCTCAGAGCATTCTGGTCACCAGCTCTTGAAGACTTGAGTGACCAAAAGTACCGCGTTCCATTCCCCAACGCTCCAAGCTTTCAAGCCTTTCGCTTCGGACCCTTTGCAAGCCTAGACCTTCAAACCCCAACATCGTCAAAACCTCACTCCTGAGCTTCCATTCACAAGGCCCTTCAAAACCTGGGTGCATGTTCCTCTTACTATTTCTGCTTGCTGGTGATTCCTCTATCATCTCTGAGGTCCTGAGCTGGCAGCGCCGAGAGCTTGGTGGCCCGAAGACGGCCCAGGGCCGCAAGGTGGCCCCCGCGGACGCGGTCAAGGAGCCCGCCTAGGGCATCTAACTCGCAGAGGCGAAGCCAAGCTAGCGACCTGAGAGGTTTTATGGGCGGAATGAGGTGCTGGAGATTGTGGCAAACACAAAGATCAAGTCAGGTGGAAGTCACGATGACGGGCCAGCGATTAGAGCCAAGCCAGGTACGCTCAGAGTTTTGCAGAGTCAAGCGCTAGACATGGGCTGTTCGAGAATAGCTGCAGCCCCACTGATCTTTGTGCTTCAGCAGGCCCTAGGATTTCTTTGCCCGTTAGGGCCAAGTGTAACGGCTGTATCAGACCTTCATGAGAACTGCAGAAACTGCCCGGCGGGTCCCTGTCGGACGAATTCATCATGTTGCAAGTGCACTCCTGACCACGCGCAGCTGTCCAATCGACACGCGCAAGGGCCAATTAGCAGAGGCATCGAATGATGCATGCGGTGATGAGTACCTTCGGACAACTTGCCCCAAAGGCGCAGCTATTAGAAGGCCTGAGTCACAAAGCTGAGAAATTGAGATGCTGCATCTTAACGAGAGTTGCGGACCGTTTCGGAGCGGGCCCTGAGGTAGAGGCTTCCCTGAAAGTCGATGGCAGGGTTATTGCTTTCGAGTTTGAGCCAAAGAGAACCCCAATTGCAAGAACCCTGAACCTAAAATCGTAAAGCCATAAACTAAACCCGGAGCTTGCGACTTTGCGAAGCCTCCTTGACTGTAGAGACGTCCCGCGGTCCCGACACAATGCCTGGGCACCCAATGGGGCTTATTATAGTAGTGCTATAGATCACAGCTGTATATGAATGTGGCAAGAGTATACGCATTGCATCTTCTGTAAGTTCAAGCAGCACTGTTTTGCGCTTTCCGTGTTTAGCAGTCATCGTTTCTGTTGCTGCTCCGACGGCGACCGCCGCGACGACAACTACAACTTGAGCAGCAACAACAACAATCACCATTGCTGATGTTCGTCTTAGCAGGGAGTAATGCTGCTTTTCCGATCAACTTTTCAATCCGCCTCCGCCTCAGTGGCAACACTGGGGCCGCATAGTTTTCAAGAAAAAGGCGGCCGTTGCAGCTCGAACTTCAAGTTCGGATTTGGTGATTCAGGAGCTCTATGTTGGTCGTGAGCCTGCAGAAAGTCAATACGATCATGGCACCCGGAAGTGATGGATTCAGGCATACTCAACCTCCTTTAATACAAGTATCTTTAATCTGTCCTTTGCAATGATGTTGCCGTATTCGGGAATGTCGAAGTTGAAGCAGCTTCGTAGAAGGAGGTTGACGTCATGACTCGCATTGTAACTGCTTCCAAAGAAAACCCAGGGGCCTGGTACGGCTTCTTGCGCCACGGCTGGTAGGGCGACATGCATCTCTGGAAGCAGGAGTCTGTCTCAGAGTCCTTCCTTTGGAGTTTGTAACACACTCATTTTGCGATGGCGGTGCTCCTACCTATGGTGGCACAGCATGTTCATTGGGTCGTGTGTTCACTGGCTCGTCTCTCTGTGTGCGTGTGTGTGCGCCTGTCCGTGTCTCTGTCTGTGCCCGTGCGTTTGCCTTCTTGCCTGCTGTTGCTTGCTTGTTTGGTGCTTGAAAGCTTTTCGGAGACATCGCCAGGTTCTGACGAATGCCCACGTGGTCCAGGGAGCAGACAGGACATTTCTGTCGCTTCTTTCTGTTGCATGCTGTGCAGCAACTCCAAACATCACCACGATCAACAACAGGGCCTGAATCAAGAGAAGCACACATAGTCGGGTTCGGCGGGATGCATGCAGCCAGGGCTGCGACGTTACTACGATGATGGCTAAGATGCAAAACGTGTATACATAGACAAGAAGAAGATGCGCCTGCTCTCCTTCGAAGTTGCGGGTAGGGCCCTGGTTGAATCAATTCGAGCATGTTCAGCGGCCTCTTGAATCGAGCTGCAACGGGTTTGTGAAGCTCCGGAGGATTCTGGCGAGCTTCCCTGGGAGACGAGAGCAGAGCTCAGCGGCTCAGAGTCTATGGGGCGCCTAGACCCTAAGCCCTAAGCCGCTTAGATGCAGCTCGTGGCTTCTCTCTCGAATGAGAAGGACAGGCTTTCCTTGCACTCAAGCCTCCAGGTCGGTTCTGGCACATGGAGTACATGCTAGATACAGTACCCCAGAGTCTCAGAGGGTATTGACATGAAAGGGGCCTTGACTCACAGCCTCTTGAAGCATATCCTTCCAGCATGCTAGCATTCCCCGCGAATTGGTGCGGCCAGGGTACGCCTCAAGGTATTTCGTGCTAAAGACGCTTGTTCACGAGACTTTCTACCATTGGCCAAAGTCTTCACTGCCACAGTGGCGCACTTTGGGGTCCTCTCTAACTAACAGGTCAGAAAGAGAGTCAGGAGGAGGTTGATGCACCTGATAAGGGCTTCCCGGCACTGGTCGGGCATGCAATGTGACAGTCTTAGGACAAGGTCGATGGCGTATCGAGCTGGAACCAGACCCAAAACAGGCGTGAACCGACCAAGGCACAAACCCACCAAAGACTGAAGTTCAAATCGGAGACTGAATGCGAGGCCGCCATCGAATGTGAGATCCTTGAGACTGATGAGGCAGGCCAAAGCTTGCAGATTAGGGGAAAGAAGCAGTTTATGACTCTGCCTGACCTTCATCTCTCTTGCTTTGACTGCTGCACTGGCACCACCTGAGAATATGATAGATGACCACGTGCATATGCATACATTTATAGTGTACAGGTGCAACTACTTCCATTCTGTTCGTGGTGAGGTCATCGATCTGGCCGCATTGCGCGTGAAGGACAAATTTCAGGGGTTAAGGCTCTTTAGAGAGCTTTTCCGGCATCAGCCCCAACAGCACATAACCCACTTTCGGCAGAAGTTCCTCCAAGCATGTTGCACCCTCATGAATGTCAACCGGATTCAAGAAAGGCTTGATCAAAATAGTCCAAACCATGGTCCCCAAATGCTCCAAGACGCTTCCTACTCCCTCGCGCTTTCGCTCTCGGTCTCTCTCCCTCACAATCTCTGCAAGCCTTGGGTTGGCTTCGCAAGCTCGCTGGTAGTGCTGGTGGGGATGCTGCTGTTGCTGCTGCTGCTGCTGGCGACGAGGAGGAGGCTTCAGCAGCTGCAGGAGTTGGAGGAGGAGGACTAGCAGTGGCAGTAGAAGTGCGAGCAGAAGTTGTCATAGTTAGGAGAAGTAGTCGTCATCATTGTAGTTGTAGAGGTAATAGTGGTCGCAGTGGTAGTTGTTGTCGTCGTCGGAGTAATAGTAGCAGCAGCAGCAGCAGCAGCAGCGGCAGCAGCAGCAGCAGCAGGAGGAGTACTTGCAGCAGCGGCAGGAGCAGCAGTAGTCGTTGTTTGGTAGTGGTAGTATTAGTGGCAGCGGTGGTGGTAGTGGGAGCAGGAGCAAGAGCAGGAGCGTAGTAGAGGTTCAAGCGGTAACGACAGTGGCAGTACAGAATTATTTCCGGGTCCATGGCGGTGGCTCCGCGACCAGTGGTACCTGCGCGGTTCAAGTTTTAGGGAAGGTCATTTTTCTTTCGGCTGTAGGTGTTCATGCAGGCTCCGGTTTGTTTTGGAGTCAGTGGAGGCCATCATAGAGGCAAATTGCGTTGGCAGGACAAGTCCCAGCTCCCACTGCCTTCCATGGCACTGGGGGCCAGCGAGACGGTCAAGACCGGTGACTGGACCATCGTCCTCGGCCACTCGGCATCAAGTTCATGAGCTGCTATTTTCGCTGTTGGCATTCCTCGCAATGACTGACTGGACGGCAAAGTGCCATGCGAGTTCCCCTCTGCTGTAGCGGATGCAGTCTGTGTTCCTTGCATGTTCTCCAAGCGTCCATTCCTCGGGGTTTAGATCTGTCGAGGGCTACGAATGAACAATGAAAGGTTCGCTTTCAACTGTCGTTATGCGTTTTTGGTTGGTTTTTTTTACGTATCGTTGTTTATCTTTACTTGTTTTTTGTCTTTGTAGACAGTGTTAAAATCTCTCTATATATATGCTCTTTTCATCTTCCCAAGCTTAGAAATCTTGACATATGTTAAACGGGCTTCATTTATCTGTTCAGAAAACCTTGGCGAGTTTTATTTGTATCTTCATAGAACTTGTGTGTGCCTTCATATATCTTATGGCTTTATGTAAACCCTCGAGGGATCTAAACCCTAAACCTCGAAGAATGAATGCATTTCATACAATGATATCTCTAGATCGATCGCCAACTCCCGGCTTTTTCAGCTGCACTCCTTTTCGGGTGTTCAATCCGCTTTTCCGGCCCTACATGCCTGACAGCATGCGAGCAACGGCTTCAAAGGAAATCCGCTGGGCTTGCAGAATACGTGCCTGCCCCAGGGGAGGAGTGGCATTCTATAAGTGCAGCGTGGTGTTGAACCTGGGAAGGAAGGGTTTGGAAGGCTGCAGTCATGAGGCTGTGTGTTCTGGACATCGGAGTTCTACAATGCGTACCTATTCCCATGGAGTAGAGGTAGCTTGCGTTGAAGCTAGTGCCAGGACAATGGTTTCCTGGAATGTAGGACACCGACGCAGACAGCAGACCGGACCCCCTTTGCCGCCAGAAAAATATGTCCCCCAGCAAACAGCTGAACTAAGTAAAAGCAGCGCCGGGTGAAACCTTCTTGCGTTGACAGCTCCTTCTTTAAGATAAGCTTTCAAGCCCAGAGATAGTCGTTTTCGCAGGTGCACCTTGGGCATCGTATCCTCACTGGAGCGCTCCACTGGGGAGACAGGCTCCAGCCTCATCAGACGAAAGCGACACAGAAGCTTAATTCGAGCAAAATAGCATGGTCAAGCACGGGCAGTGGCTTCACTCTACAGAGCCATAGTGACCATCTTCACTCAAACACCCACTTCGCACATTTGATTTTGACTGATGTCCTGCATCAGCCAAGCGACAGCCAATTTTCGCCGACTCGGATGCTCTGGGATTTGTGGCCTCAGCCCGCCGTTTTTTGAACGGCACTTCTATGAAGTCTAAGCCGGGGTGGAATTGGCATGTTTGAAGTTAGTCCTACTTCGGACACATTGTATTCATGACATGTCGATGTTTGTGCGATTGCCCCACCGTGCAAGTATCACGTCCATTTCCATTGCATGTAAACGCTATACCAATCTTTTTTGGTCTATCCCAACCTTTCTCACTGAATAAAGCGGGCTTTATCATTTCGTAAACTTCACAGTTTCAATCCTCGAACAGGGACAGGCAGATAAATATGAGTCAGTAGGGATGGATGGAGAGAGAGCGAGAGAGAGAGCGAGAGAGAGAGAGAGAGAGAGAGAGAGACAGACAGAGGGGGGGGGAGACAAACAGAGGCAAGAGAGCGCTGCTTCGAAGGAGAAGTTTCCCTGTCCTCCGGATCAGGAGTTCGAGCTAGAGGGTCGTTGTTACTTGAGCAGCCCGTCGGACCTGTGCTCACGTCCGTAATATGGAGCTGCGGTTATGTTATGGGCAAGCCGATGCAGAATCACCTGCAGCCTAGTTTTTGCCAGCGCCCTGCAATGCTGCAATGCCAAGAATCTTTCCCGAATGTCACTGTCAAGACCGGAGGCAGGATGCTAAACACCTGGAAGAAAGCCCTGAAACCCACAACCACGGAAGCCCCAAAGCCCTTCAGCCCTAAACCTTACTGCGCAATCCTGAAGCGGACGATCTGAGCCTGAGCTCCACTGCTCAAAGTCACAGTCCACGAGAAACAGAGAGTTTACGATGCGGACCTTTGCAAGGTTTCGACTGGATGAGACACCCACTCATCCAGACCGACGCGGCGGTCAACCAGGGGTGCCCGCAGCCAGTTGCAGAAGATTTCGGAATCACAAGTATCTTGTCGTTGATAGCTTTGCAGGCCGTGGGGGTGAGATGATAAAGCTCGGCCGGAGCGCAGCGAAACCGAGAACAGTGGTCGGATTGCCGAGGATTTGTCTTAGAAAGTCTGTGTTTACACTGGAAGTGTTGAACAAAATCTTGTGGGAGGGAAACGAGGGGTGATCGAGATCAAGGGATGCATTGAGCTGTGAGGCTCTCGCATGCCCAGCCAGGAACAGCGGAGGGCCCATGCTGAACGAGATCGGCGAGGTGGCTTCGACCGGCTAACTCCGAATGTTGTGCAACTGGTCTTAAGTCGCTTTGGTTTGACACACTGTTACGCTAGGACTGGGACCTGCAAAAGGAACACTTCATGTTGGATTCCAATTCTGAAGTATTGTCTGTGTTTTCGGGGCCTCGCAAGCTTTGCAACGGGTCGGGCCAAGGTGATTGGGATGATCTCAATGCGGGCCCTGTTTGGCGACTCGGCCGCGGTTGGCCTTGTAGCTGGAGCGGTCAAACAGAGTGCACACAAGGCCCGGGAACAGCTGAAGGATTGGACTGGAGCTCACCACTGGCACTAGCAGTCAGACTGTTTGCACCAATCTCGTTCGCTCCTATAGAGGCTTTTGGCCCGACATGTTCTTAGGCATCCGACAAACTGCCTGGGAACCGAAATCCGAAAATGTCTGCAGATGTTGACATGACCGGGCTTGCTCTTTAGGGGGCTTGGCCTTGGCTTGGTGCATCTTTCGGAAGCCCCAAAGCAGCCCGCGAGCATAGGAGAAGGGATCGGTTTTGCCATCCCGGCAGACTCCATCCGGTAGCGGCCTGAGCAGGGACATGGCTGTTGGGTGGTTCAGAAGCTTGCATTTTAAGGTCTCAGGCTTGGGCTTTTCTGTTCGCGTGTTTTTTTTCATGAGGGCGCGGGTGCCACATGGAAGAGCACCACCACCATCACCCACCTACCACCACCCACTACAGTTGATGCCCAAAATCCTGCATGACTTTGAACATCCCCACATCTCCACTGTCACCCCTGATTTTAATATTGCATTGATGCAGGGATTAAAACCAAGGCCTGTGCGAATGCCCAAAATCCTGAATGACCCCATGGTGGTGCAACGTTGAAATTAAGGGGTCGCAGGGAAAAGGACAGTGCGACGTGAGCTATGTGCGATGACCTAGGTCATGCAGGATTTTGGGCATCAACAGTATCACCAGGACGACGACAACTATTACTGATACTATTACCGCCCCACGACCGCCCGCAACCACCACTCACTGCGACCCACTAACTTCCTTTTGCAGCAGCTGCCTCTACTGCCGACTGCCACTAGCACTGCTCATATTGCTCCTGCCAGCACTGTTGCTAAACTGAGAACAATCACAAGTGGTCGTGTTCGTAACATGCGGCTTCTTGTGGCTATGCTGCAACAATGCTTATGAAGATCGTGAGGATCATGTGATGGCCCTGATGGCTGTAACATGATCATGATGATGAGGAGGAGGATGATTGCAGTTGTCCGCCCTATTTGCTATTTGTTGGCACGATAGCAGCTCTTGCTTTGGGGAGAAATTTATGTTCGGAGGGACTGGGAGTAAACAAGGGGAAGTGTTAGGCTGCTAGGGGGTTGTACATCTACAGCGTTTCCGATGGTCATGAAATCCTGTCGGTAAAAGTTTCGGTTCCGTGGATTTTGCTTCCCACCTGCAGGCTGATAGCCATCGTAACAGGCACCCCCAAACTTTGTGGGCAATTGGAGCACACCATACCCGATTTCTTGGCAGCTGTGCTGTCGCCTTGTGAGGACCGCGCTCCCTAGCCTCCTTGCAGGGAAAAAGGCCTGGAATCCCATGTGCCAAGCTGGAACGAGGGTTTGGAAGGACAGGGACCGATCGGCCTTCTGCCTCAGCTTGCCATTTGCTTCGTCCAGAAGCTTCGTCGGCAGGTTCCGCGCTCGTACATTGGGGTCAAAATGCCTCTCGGCGGCCTTGACTGACAGCAAAGCAGAGTGGTGTCACGAGAACCGGCATGAAATACTATAGCTTCTGTGGAGAGGACATGCATGCATCCCCAAGCTCAACATGGCAGAACCCACGATGCTCCATCCTCCCGTCACCTTTGCAGTCGTAGTCTGCCACCAATGACATAGTGCACAATCAGAAGCAAGGAACCAGATCGAACCGGAATCTTCTGCCACTCCTTCCAAGCCTTCCAAGGGCCATGCAAGACCACAGCGGCCACGAGGCGGGATTGTGCGTATCGTTTGCAGCATGGGTTCTGTAGTTTTCATGGATCTCAGCTCTTTCTCTTATATGGGATGCTTTGAAATCCCAACACACACGGTTTAGACCTGCTTCGCCAACCTCGGAAATGCCAAAACCTCTAACTTCGTCTGCACCCCCTGAACCCTGCGCAGAAGCACAATATATTGTAGGAATCAGAACCTTGTCATGATCATCTAGTATGCACGTCTCTTCCCCAGTGCGCCGTGGTGGATGTGGTCTTGGATGGGAGCCCCGCTGCTGAGGCAGGTGTGAAGGCCGGGATAGACGGCTCTCAGAAGAGTTTGCAGGTTCGTACGGTTTGGCATGGTTTGGCACTAGGGTTTCCGGTTTCGGTGGCGGTGTCTGCACGGTAGGCTGTAGCTCTTTGATGGAGCCAGAATTTATGGCTGAACCTGATACCCTGAATCAAAGCTCGATCATGGCTTAGACTCCGAAACACCTCGTGCCCAAGACTCTAGACCCAAGTAGCCTAAAGAGTTCGTGGACCCTAAAACCCGTGAGCCCGAATCCTTGAGAACCCCAACCCTCTTCTGAAGTCTCAACATCACCATCATAAGTCATGAACATAAATCATCACCATAATCATAAGCCGCCATAAGCATACACATAAATCATCACCATCCTCTTACGAGGAAGAGTGAGATCAAGCCGACAACAGGTCGGTGATCAACTCATCGAAGTCGGCGGTCGGAAGGTGCGACACTTCGACGAGGTGGGTCCAAGCACGCGCTTCGTTTGTGGGGATTGGAGGGCTTCTTCTCGATTCATGCTAGTTGTAGGGTCCAGAGATGTGTTGAGTTTGTTTGCTTCAGGTTTGGGCTTAAGGATGTGGGGGGGGGGAGTGTTGTGATTAGTTTTGGCTTGGAGCATTGTGGGTTCGGGTCTCAGGTTAGGGCTTCGGGCCCATTTTTGTGTGTACTTTCGGTCTTGCTTTTTGAGTTTACGGTTTCCAGGGAAGGCTTCAGGAAATCTACAAAAACGTATGGGCTCCACGTCTGCGAGCTTGTTGCCAGAACTAGAGCCTCGAGTCTGGAGGCCTGTCTGGTTTGTTTCAAGCCGTGAAAGCCCAGGCCCGGAGATCCTGAACATTGCACCCTTGCTCAACTTTCAGCTTCATTTTTTTGGCCCTCGAGCAACAGACGTCGGAGTCAGCCGTGTGTTGTCCACCGCAGAATAGCCCACATAGTAGTGATTCGTCTAGTCCAGATTCTGTCTTCCGGCTAGGTGAGCTGTCCATGTACCTCATGTTCCATTCATTCAGGTTCTGTGTGTGCCCATCACCATGTGCAGCGGGTTTGATTTTCAGTTGGAGGTAACTTGCGAAGCCTGTGCAAGGAGTCCAAGGCAAAGGCATCGGGCCTAGTTCGGAAACCGGAGATCCCGGAGCCTAGGCCCCAGGCTTGACATAGCACCCAGTTTTGAAGCTCTAATACACAAGTCCGATGCCTGCAGGTGCAGCTGGCTGTCCGAGCTCTTCCTGTTGACAATCGTTTGAAGCTCAAGGCCACGCCGAAGAAGGGATGACATTCAGTCTCAGAGATTAGCAGCCGCGGCAGCAGCAGTCGTCATCGTAACGGTAGTGAGAGGAGGAGAGAGAGGAGGTACAGGTAGGCAACTCAATTAGTAGGCAAGTAGCGGCGGCAGTATCTGAATGGAGATTGGATCCATACAACAGGGCAGCAGGTGCTATCGCCACCAGTGCAATCGAGCACACTCTCCTGTAAGGCATTAGAATCATTAGAGATTGCTTCCCATCGTCGCTTCTGGAGTCCCAGCCCTCGCTCAAGGATGGTAGGTTCCGGGGAGATGTTACTGGCCGTTGCTGCGTCCAAGGCGGAAAACACATGGTTTGTCCTATTGAAATTGTCTTGCAGGTGAGGCGTGGCGAGAAGTCCGAGTCCTAGCTCCGGAAAAGACGTTGTGATTTGTGAAAGCGTAGAGCTCAGAAGCTCAGAGGGACGATTCTTATGCGTTTTCGGCTGGAGGTTTAAGAGGATCGAAGCTCTAGGTTTGTTCAACATATCGCCAACCATACGTCTCGAATCATGTATACAGATCCTGAGGTTCCCAGCCTCAACTCCCTGTCAGCAAAGGTCTACGACGCTCGTCGTGACAACGGCAGACATCCGACGTTTGCGGGAGGCGCACGCAAGATAGATGGAGCTGCTATAGCATGTGCCTCGGCTAGAGTCGAAACTTACAAAGCCTTCACAGTTTTTTCTGGTCCTGCTACTTGCACAGGATACGTTATGATTTTCGTGTTCCCCGGTCCTTGCCAACGTTTTGTTTTTTACCCGAAATGCATGTAGATTTCAAGTCCGGTCCGCATTGGCAAGGCATGTGGGTCCTGAGTCGCACGGCTTTATGTGAAACACTCCAACTTAGGGAGAGGTGAGTTTCGTTTGGACGCAGTAGAGGGGCTGCCCAGGGCGATGAACATAATAAGTTTTATTTTGTTCTGTCAAGTTAGGTTCTTCCGTCCCACACCGCAGCACGACCGAGCAGCGTACGCCATAATGAAGACAATATCCTGAAGAAAAATCTGCAAGCAATGCTGATGAATGATTTGCCGACATCCTGTCGTTGCAAGGCATCGCCAGCCTCACCGGGCGGCCGCCACCGTGTGGTTTGTCCCTCAATGCCTGGAAAGACCGAGCAGTCAATGCTTCTGACACATCCCATGTGGTAAAGAGTTGCCATTGCCTCGAGCAATGCTTCGGAGCTCGGGGTCGGGAAGCTGCGTGTTCGATCTAGTGATTGACTTCTACCCGGATGTATACAAGCTTCCCCTCAACCCCCAATGCCCACATCTGAAAGTTCAAAGCCCCGAACCTTGCACGAACGACATCCCTCAATAGGTTTGCACCATGAAGCCTGAAGACCCTGCCGGTTTACGTACACCTATAGAACCTGACACTTCAGGGTACCAAAGACCTCGAGCCCGTCAAGCCCTAGCTGCAACTCTAAACCCTCTGAACCCCACATGGGCCAGGTCATCCTGCCCTGAGAGGCCTCGCATCAGCCGGGTAGTGTCAGCTTCAACTGGGAGCACCGACGCAGAAGAAGAACAATATTTACCACCGACCAATACTTGGGTCAGGTGGCCAAAACTGTAGTAGAATCAAATACCATCTTAAGAGTGACACAAAGCAGTACCTGGCAGGCCAGCAGCAAGAAGAGCTCGGCGTGTGACCCATCGATATGACTGGCACGTCCTGTCACTTCGCGATCGTGTTTTCATATCCAGCTGCTCAACTTGATTTCCGGCTATTTGGCCGTGTAGTGGTCCGAAACTGCTGCTGGTGCTCCTGGTTTCGTAGAGGACTTGTGGGGTCAGAGTGCCGGTACTCCGGAGCAGGCATCTGGCATCTTTGTACAGCAAGTTGCTTCGCAGGCTGCAGGCATGCCACACGCACTGCCTTCTTGCATCATCATAACCATCGTAACCATCACCGCCACAACCGCCGCCATCCCCATCACCATGACCATCACCAGCAGCCTTGCCATGATCTTAGAGTCTTAACATTCTTCATCCTCGTCACCACCATCAAGATAGGAGTGTTCAAGTCAGCAGCACACAACCATCACAACAATTGACATCAGTCACATGGTCATAATCTGTTGTCAGCATCATCATCATCATCATCATCATCACCCCTGCTGCTGTCACCAGCGACGTCGTCATAAAGGTCAGCAATTTCGTCGCTATCTGCATGTACCGTCTCGTCGTCTTGATGATGGTGATGATGATGTTTATCATCAAGATAATCGTTCAGCAGGACGATTATGTTTCAGAGAGGGGAATGCAAGCCGCCTGTGAAGCATAATTTCCGCCGGAACGGTGGGGCGACACGGGCCCCTGCAACTTCGGAACAAAGACACATTCCGTGTTGCTGGATTGCACAGCCGGGCATGCTGCGACATGTATGGTATTGCGAAGACGTATCGTTTATGACAATGCAGTGCCCGGTAGACTCCACAAAGTATGGAGTCGGAGAAAGACTCGAAATCCCTGACAAAACTGCAGCGGGTTCATGCTTCACTGCCAGCCTTTGAACGAACTGCGAATAACGGCGATCCTGCTGGTCGCGATGATGTTTCTGGGAAGAGCGTGCGGGACGACGAACCATTTGCAAGATAAAGTCTGGAAAATCGTTCATTGCAAGGGGTTACAGTAGGCGGTTGCTCTTAATGCTACACTTGTGACCTCGCAGAGATGTACGTGTGTAGCATGTGGCTCAGATTTGAAGGGAGTCCTTCCACATGAGAGTCCAATCATACAACAATAGATTGGTTTCCGACGAAGAGCGATGCTCTAGGACGCTGGTAAAAGCAAAGACACGACAGCAAACTGTCTGTGGTCTCTGCTGCGACGTCGTAAAGGCCCAAACAAGCAGCTGGAATCAAGGATATATATATGGCATATGGATTTGCGGATATCGGTCCGGTTCAGGGCAATGAATTGTGAGAAATCCCTGAATGTACGTGCAGCTTCGGGGCTTTAGCCGTCAGGCCAGCAGTTTTTGCTATTCGCGGGATGCCGGAATGGAAGGTGTTCAAGTTTACTTATGCTCTGCTCTCAGATGTCTGAACACCACCATCCACTTGCTGAGTGCAGCAGTCGGTGGGCCGTAGCATGTGACCGTGGCGCAAACATGAGACAGAACGATTACGGAGGTCCGCTGTGGTGTTGAGCTGGCGTGTTGCAGCACGAAAAGAAGACGCCGAGGTTCTGTATCAAGGGGGCGACCCGCTTGGCAAGCTCATGTCGATCGCAACCTTGTCCCCGATGCTGGTAGCGCAGGTGACTCAGACATCAATGTTCAAACTTCTGCTACACCTTCAGAGACAGACCGTCAACAACTGTGCTTTTGCGGAAATCGAAAACCATCGAAAACCCATAGAGTAAAGTACCTGTACGAGGGTAAAGCACCTGTACGAGTGTGCGACGAAGGCCATAGCGACAGCCTGCTTCACCTGCACTGCTTGAGGATCGGGGACCCTGCCTTAGGATCGTGCTCCTTGTTGCTTCTACTTTCGTGCTCCATGACACTTTTGCCACAAGCTTTCAACAACCCTGTTCGCTGAGCCCTCAGGCGCTGGAGTCCCGAATTCCTGCGCTCGTTTATCAAACTCGGTGAGACCAGTAGCAGGATGCGATTCTAGCCAAGACTTCTTTGCGAGGTTCCATGTAGCCGACGGCCCCTAATCCCAATTCCAAAACCCCTACGTCGTCGTGCGAGAGTCAGAGCCCCCAACCACAGAGGTTCGGTCTGGGTGCTGCCTTCGTAGTGACCCGCCAGCTCCCCTGGGCGCTCGGAGCCCCAGAACGCGGCCGACTTTCTGCGGCTTATCCGCCTTCACTCAACTGGTTTTGTCTTTGATCTCCTTGCCCCTTTGGTCCTGTGCTGATTGTAATTCTCTGGTCACTCTAGTCTCTTGGGTCTCTACTCTTGGCGTCTGGCGACATCCAGACATCTCTCTGAGCCCAACCTGGAAGCGCAGTGGGCAAGCCGCAATCTTTCAGATAAAGACGGTGGGCATCGGTACAAAAATATCCCTTTCAGAGTTCTCTGTCGAGCACTTCAGAGTTCAAGAGGCGCATGGATAGCTGACTTCACGCTTAGACTAGCGTTCTCCTATTCCTCCCACGGAGGAGGTGTAAGCAGTGGCTTTCGTGAATTCCTGGGAGCTGGTTTCACCTGAGTCACGGTTCAAAACAGCGAGTGGCACAGCAGCAGCCTAAACGGTGCCACAGCACTGAGTAGCCCACCCTCCAGAAGTCCGTCATCTTCATTCACAGCAGATTCTAGTGTTTTTGCCCTCCTCATCTTCACCGGCATAAGAAGCTGAAGCAAAGCAGCAATCCGGTTACAAGCCCCTTCACCCTGAAGCCTTGAGCTGAATCCCAGCATGCCCAGCAGTCCCAAAGCCTCGAGTCCAGCAGTCCTAAAGCGTCGAGTCCAGAGGTGGAGCCTTCTGGGTGTACTGCTCACAGATGGCTTCTGCATAGTTCTCAAGGAGCTCCTGAACCAGCCAGGGGCCCCAGTGGTCGACGCCTCGGCGCTGTTTCTTAGTCGTATTGTGGGTGGTGCTGGTAGCTGTCGTCGTCGTAGGCGTAGAGTAGTCGTGGTCGTGGTACAAGCAGTGTAGAAGATGGAGGGAGTAGCAGTTGTAGAAGTGGTAGCAGTAGCATCAATCGTCGTGGTGCTGGCGGCGGCGTTGAGTCGGAGTCGTCGTCGTACCAACAGGAAGGACATGAAATTGAGAGCAACACTTCTTGTTGTGACCCGTTTGAGGAGTGGTGTGTGTGTGTGTGTGTGTGTCTGTGTTTGTGTCTGTGTCGGTGTCTGTGTGCGCGCTACGGGATACCATCGTTGCCACTACTGCTGACGCTGTGAACCCGTGCAGCCTCCATCAACGTCTGCTTTACACGGGCCTGTGCCAAGGCCTCGACCAGAGGGGAGCTATCGTGAAGGGCACTCGGCTAAGCTCAGGAGGGAGCACGCAAGTTGAGGGAGGCAACTAGTTCATTCTACAGATTTGATATAATCTTGCCACCAGTTCAAACTTGTGTGCAACACCTTGCGCCTTCAGCATCGCAGTCGACAATCAGCAGAAAGGTTCTCCACCAGTCAAGAAGCTGGTTTTCCGAAATGCGACGAATGCCTTTCCGTGTTTCCGAAAATAGGGGACCGCAATATAGTACCCTAAATAGTGGGATCCTTATTCTCAGGACCCAAAATCATGTACCCCTAATTTTCGGAAACTCCCATGTAAGAAACAGAGCTGAGGCCGGGAATGCCTAGCCGATCACCCAGCTGCCTTGAAAAAAGCCGTAGCTTGCAGGGCTTCGGCAGCTCAAGCTATACGTCTATCAGGGCTGTTCACTTCAGCATTCCAATGATGGAGTAAGTAAGAGCAGAGGTAGATTCGACAAGTATGGATGCCATGTTCCTTATGTCGGTCCGATAGTGTACTATGACTCTCGGTCACCGTTGTAAGGCGAGCACGCCGCGTTCTGTGCGTTTCTGGTCGCCCATTTGTCGCTGCCTTGCCCTCAGGATGAAGCATTCAGCTCTGAGACTACGGAGGAGAAATACAGCGAATCCACTTGAGCACAGCGCCTACACATGGGCTATACTCTTTAAGTGCGCAGCTTGTGCTTTGCAAGCTTTTATGGTTCGCTGGTCGTCGACGTGACATGGGGTCACTCTTGTACTCCGAACTACCGATAACCTCCTGGTCCAACTCTGATCATGCATTTTGCAAGGTGGGTATGCCTGAGGGCTCGATGCTTGCTGCTGCTGAAGGTGGGCATAGGTGAAGGGCAGTTTCCGTATGACGACAGATCTCGCAGCTGCTGACCAACAGTGGAAGACATACTGGTCTAAACATCGTGGTGTGGCAAAATGTTGTGAAGGCTCTGGCAGTCGTTCTGATGGCCGCATGGGCGCTGCTCGTGGCCTATTCCCGCCACCACCTAGGAGCTGTTCTCGCTTCTGTCTGCTGTAATTTCAGCTGTTATCAGGACCCTTTTGACTTCGCCGTGTGTCTCGAGAACGCCTCCCGAGTCCCAAAAGCCCTGTGCAGGAGTTCATTCCGCGGTGCAGATCCTCGCCGGGCTTGTTCTCGGGAGCTCCGGCGGATGTGTTGTGGCCCCGGCTTGGGCCAGCGCTCACTTGAAGCCACTCAGGAAGTTTTCATAACTCTGCAGTAACTGTTTGCAGATGCATTCCCCATCGAGTCGCAATAGGGGACAGCAATCATCTGCACAAAAGAATCACACACAAACTGACAATGGTAGTAAAAGAAAACAATGCACCGAAAAGATGACGGTGATACGAGTAACATTAATGCTTATACTGATAATGCGACGTAAATCTACGCAACCTGAAAACCGCAGTAGCTGGATGCCATGATAGATAACTTTGAGCCCTTCAGCCCAAAGGTCTGGTTCGTGGCGGAGCGCCGGCCTCCAACGGCCTCATTTCTGGAGTGGGCCCA